GTCTTATTGAAGTTGGACTTCAACTGAAAGACCAGTGTTCTTTTAAAAGACGTGTTTTGTCAGCAATCTGAAACCCAGTTACCCGAAGGCGAAGGTTTCAGACGAGGCTGAATAAACAATTTTCAACTGTTGCTGTTATCCTTGATTTTCTGTCTATCTTTGAAAAATGGATACCCGAAACACAGGGCCAACTTAAGGCAATGTTTCGGATAATGGCTCTCTGGGATACAAGGCTCAGTTAAGGCAATATCCCAGAATTGTCCATGGACTCATGTCTTTGGAGAACAAGTCTTATTGAGGTTTGACTTCAGCTGAAAGACCAGTGTTCTTTAAAAAGACGAGTTTTGTCAGCAATCTGAAACCCAGTTACCCGAAGGCGAAGGTTTCAGACGAGGCTGATTAAACAATTTTCAACTGTTGCTGTTATCCTTGATTTTCTGTCTATCTTTGAAAAATGGATACCCGAAACACAGGGCCAACTTAAGGCAATGTTTCGGATAATGGCTCTCTGGGATACAAGGCTCAGTTAAGGCAATATACCAGAATTGTCCATGGACTCATGTCTTTGGAGAACAAGTCTTACTGAAGTTTGACTTCAGCTGAAAGACCAGTGTTCTTTAAAAAGACGAGTTTTGTCAGCAATCTGAAACCCAGTTACCCGAAGGCGAAGGTTTCAGACGAGGTTGAATAAAAAACCTTTAAAGAGTAGATAGAACAAAGAAAATTTTGAAAGGATAAAAAGTTGTAAACATTTATATAAATGGCGGCTCCAAGGCCTTTCATTAGTTCAAAATGTACTTACAAAGATTGTTCTGCCCCGAAGGGTTTACACATGATATTTTTTCAGTACATCAGCGTTCCAGTGATTTTTCAACTCAGTTCCATCCAACTGCCGAAGTCGGTATGTCCCTGGCTGAAGCTCATCATAGATTTCATAAGGTCCTTCCCATGCAGCTGAGAGTTTCCCATGGATTCGGCCTTTCTGAACTGCAGCAGCATTCTGAAGGACAAGGTCTCCAATTTTGAGAGGCCTTGCATGGACCCTTCGGTTATAAAATTTGCTGATTTTCTGCTTATAGGCGGCCATTCTGTCTCGGGCTGAGTCTCTTACTTCGTCGAGGAAATCGAGAGATTCCCTCATCAGTCGCTCATTCTCAGCCGAGAAGTGGTGCACTCGAAGGCTCTCAGAGCCAATTTCCACTGGAAGGACGGCTTCGGCACCATACACCAGTTCAAAAGGTGAGTGGCCCGTTGCCTCTGGTTACAGATCCTTGGGCCGAAGCACTTAGGCCTTTCGGCTTTTTTGTGCTCGGCTCTCTTTCTTTTTCTTTCTCCTCCTCATCCTTGTCATCTGGGCGACTATTGGATGGTTTGAGGTAGTTGCACCTTCGGGCGTCCTTTTGGTTGCCCTGTATCCTTTCGGGGAAGCCGGCGTCTGAGACGTAAATCATCAGCTGATGATAAGTTGAGACGACCCCTTGGATCTCGTGAATTATGGGTCTCCCCAAAATCACGTTGTACACTGAAGGAGCGTCAATTACCAAAAATTCAATCATGACGTTCCTGGCTGCCTCATCGCAGCCGATGGTGACAGGAAGTGTCACCTTCCCATCTGGATAAGTTGAAGCCCCGTTGAACCCGGATACCGGGTAGGGTACCGGCGTAAGATGCTTGGGCTTCAACTTGATTTGATTGTAGGCCTTTCGGAACAGAATGTTTGCTCCGCTGCCACCGTCAACAAGGACCTTACTGACGTCGTGGTTGGCCACCGTGGCGATGATCACCAACGGATCCTCGTGAGGGAACGTTATCCCCCGGCAATCGGCGGCTGTGAACGTCATGTTCGGCACCGGCGATTGGGGAGACTGAATGTCAGCGTTGTTCACCTGGTGAGTCAAAGCCCTAAGGTGTCGCTTGTGCTCCCTCCGAGAGCATATTCCTCCCGAGATAACATTGATCGGAGAGAATTTCCCCTCCGGCTTTTTACTGTTCTTCCGGGGGAAGTCGAGGTCCTGCCGAGAGTCCTTTGCTGACTTCTCGGACTCTTTTTTCTCGCGGTGATCCGCGATGTATTTTTTCAAGTATCCCTTCCGGACCATGTCCTCTATCTGGTCCTTCTGTTGAATACACTCCTCAGTGTTGTGTCCCGGAGACTCATGGAACTCGCACCACTGATTTTTATTTTTTCGCTGATACCACTCTGGGAGTGGTCTCGGCTTTCGGTAACTCTGCTCCTCCTTCGTCACGCTGTAAATTTTGGCGCGTGGAAGAGAGAGCGGAGTGTAGGACTCGTATCTGCCTGTGTATGAGGCAGATCTTTCCTTCTTTGGGTCGCTGGCCAAAGATTGCTCCGGGGCCTTTGACTTTCCCTTTGCCTTATGGCCTTGGCCTTCAGACAAGGGTATTTGCCTTTGTTTCCCTCCCCCAAATTGAGGTTGGGTTTTCGCTTTGTTCCATTCTTCGGCTCGGATGAACTTATCCGAGGCATTCAGAGCTTCCTCCAAGGTCTGCGGGGTATGCATGACCATGAAGTCTAGGAACTTTCCGGGCTGAAGGCCATTCTGCATTGCAAAAACGGCTAGCCCCTGGTCCAGCTGAGAGACGCTGGATGACTCGTTACTGAAACGGGTCAGATAGTCTCGGAGGCTTTCGGTTTCCCCCTGTTGTAGACTCATGAGCTCTGCAGTAGTCTTCTCTCGGCGGTTTGCCGTGGAAAACTTGCTCCTGAACTTGGAGGACAGATCATCCCACCCTGTTATGGAGCCTTGCCTTACTCCCTTGGAGATCCACGCTTGCGCGACCCCCTTGAGAGTGGTTGGGAAATATTTGCACCAAGTCGCCTCGGATCTGGGGCAAAGATGCATATGAGTCTCATACGAGGCCACGTGATCCTTCGGATCCGAGGTCCCGTCATATGTGATGTGCGACGGTATTTTAACCGTGGGTACGCGCTCTTCCAGTATCCATTGCTCGAATGGTGAACTGGCGGGTAGCATAACGGCCTTGCCCTTGTTCCTGGCCGAAGGGACCGCGCTCCGCCCTCTTAGAGAGGTAGGAGTGGTTTTCGTCCCTGGCTGGGAAGTCTGGGCCTCGGCTGCAGGGAACGAGAGGCGACTGCGCACGCTCGGTTCCTTGCCGCCGAGTCGGTCAAGGACGCTTCGGCGAACAGTCTCAGGTTCTCGGTGAGTAGATTCTGGCCGAGAAGCTGAGCTGCTGCTCTTATGCGCTTCTGGTCTTGAGGATGAGGATCCTTTTAAAAATTGAGGGTTCTTTTTCCTCTCTTTTTCATTTTTCCAGGAATCCTCTTCCCACTCTTCCAGTTCCCGGAAGGAAGGAAGCTTCCCACCATCATGGTCTAACTTCCTCCGCTGATGCCGGGTATGCGGAGGAGTTCGATCACGAGGTGGTGGCATATTTTGTGCCCTCATCGCCTCCATGAGCACTGCCAGCGCTCTTGCCACCTCTTCCGAGCTGGGCCCCGTCAAAGGGGTCCTCGGCCGAGTATGGGAATGAGGGCGCGCAGCCGATGGTTGGCTTTGGGGCACTGAATGTGTCCTATGATCGGACTCACCCCTGCTAGACCGAGAGTGACTCGACCTATAATGAGAGTCATGAATTACGGGAGAAAGGGAATCCTCCTTGTATGATCCTCCCCCCGAGCTGGCACCCTTGGGAGAGTTCCGGTCCGGCGAGGGTGATGGTGTAGGGGTTTTAGGCTTTTCGCCCGCTCCTTGACGGAGACTTTTGCTCTTGCGGTTCTTAGCCATTGCTACTAAGATAATTGCAAGATGATCTTGGTTAGAAATTTGGCTTAAAGATTTTTGAAAGTCTTCCCCACAGACGGCGCCAAATTGTTTCGGGTGAAAACAATGGGACCTTGCCGAAGGTCCGCTGAAACGGAGAAGACTGGATTCGGTCCAAGTTATGCTGGGCCGAAGGTTTCCTGCACAGTAAACACACGTAAACTAGCCTCGGGGGTGTTGCCGAGGAAGGCCCCTCCGATGCTAAAGTCAGTACAATGTGTAGAAAGAGAACACTATGCAAGAGAATTAGTTGCTTGAGGCTTTGCTTGAATATATGAGAATGTATGGGAATCTATGAGAATATGTGAATCTGTGAATCAATACCTGAATGTATGAATATTGATGGCTTTTATACCTCTTCATACATGGAGAGGTTGGGCCTTAGCCCAATTGGCTTGCTTTGAGGGCTGACCTTTGACTTTAGCACAATTGGAGAGTTGAACCTTGACCTTGGGCTTTTAATTGGATCATTTAATGCCTAGGCCCAATTGGACTAAATTGGACCCAAACAAATGATATCAAGCCTAGCTGTATTTCAAGTACAAATACTTGGTATTAAATTTCAAGCTTGGAGCTAATTTAAGACTTTAAGTAACATAGAATATAGACCTCAAAATCTAAAGCATATAACTCAGCTCTTTTTTCAACATAAATACATTCATTAACCTACTTCGTGTAATATAAGGTTTAATTCAAGAAATTAAAGGGTAAATGATGTTTCGGGTGAAAACAATGGGACTTTGCCGAAGGTCCGCTGAAACGGAGAAGACTGGATTCGGTCCAAGTTATGCTGGGCCGAAGGTTTCCTGCACAGTAAACACACGTAAACTAGCCTCGGGGGTGTTGCCGAGGAAGGCCCCTCCGATGCTAAAGTCAGTACAATGTGTAGAAAGAGAACACTATGCAAGAGAATTAGTTGCTTGAGGCTTTGCTTGAATATATGAGAATGTATGGGAATCTATGAGAATATGTGAATCTGTGAATCAATACCTGAATGTATGAATATTGATGGCTTTTATACCTCTTCATACATGGAGAGGTTGGGCCTTAGCCCACTTGGCTTGCTTTGAGGGCTGACCTTTGACTTTAGCACAATTGGAGAGTTGAACCTTGACCTTGGGCTTTTAATTGGATCATTTAATGCCTAGGCCCAATTGGACTAAATTGGACCCAAACAAATGATATCAAGCCTAGCTGTATTAAAAACAAAAAAATATATTTATATATATATATGAAATAAATTCCAATCAAACTAAGGCTAAACAACATGAACTTCATGCGTTCACTTTTACTTGATTGTAATAGTTTGACCAAAAAGCTCTTACATTTTTAGTCAAAGTATGACAACTAAAAGTGAACGGGTTAGCATGCATTAAAGCTTAAGAGATAAGTCAAGCTTATGCAAATGATCATGATCTTGTTTAAGACTAGTCTTAAGAACATTGACAGTTTCCTTCCAACAAAGACCTCCTCCAATCTTATTATTTCTATCCAATGGCTGAGAATTATTCTTGTGATGATGAACCTGTCAAACCGTGCAACACCATGGCCGCCAGGCCCAGCGATATTATTTGAAGAAGATGATGGAGGTGATGAGCCCATTGCAAGACGCCCAATTGCTGGTTGCTGATCAATCATAGGAACCCTTGATCCATAAGATGGTTTATGTATCAATGAGTGAGCTTGTATTCCTAGAGGTCTAAGATTATTGTTGTTGCCGTTGTGCTTATTATAATATAAGCCATAAAGAGGAAGGGCTGAAATATTGCTAGGGTATGATGATGATGTTGTTAATGGTCTGTTGCTCTTGTAGAAATGTTGAGGGAGATGATAATTACCAAATGTTGCTGAAGTCATCATCCGATGGCCGCGTTTCGCTAGCGTCCTCTCTCTTTTGTGTGCATTTTGATGGCCTCCAAGTGCCTGGGAGCTGTAGAATTTCCTTTGGCAATAGTTGCATGAGAAAATCCTTGCTTCTCCCAATCTCTCAACATTGATATTACTAGCCGCTTGTGGACTACTTTTTTCATCTGAAATAATTGGATTTTTATCCTTGTTGTATCCACCGATAAGATCGACTTTTGGATCATAGTCGTCTTGCTCTTCAAAATCATTGCTGCATAAGCTAAGATTCAAGTTATAAATTGGATGATTTTGGAGATTTTCATTTTTTGCTTTTGTTGAAATTATTTGAGCTTCTTCTTCTTCTTCTTCTTCTTCTTCTTCTTCTTCTTCTTCTTCTTCTTCTTCTTCTTCTTCTTCTTCTTCTTCTTCTTCTTCTTCTTCTTCTTCTTCTTCTTCTTCTTCTTCTTCTTCTTCTTCTTCTTCTTGGGTATATATAGAGTATATATATTGAATTGATTGGGTAGTAAATGCTTTTGAGTGATTTAAGTGAAGTATTTGAAATTGGAGTATAAGTTATAAACGCTAATTAGTAATTACTAGTAAGACTTAAATCAGTGAGAGAATGATGGATGTAGATACTAGATAAGTAGAAAGGATAGATGGAGAAAGGGTCGTCTAAAATTTTGTAAGTAGTTTCATATATAGCTTTAATTTTGATTGAAACATATGACTATCATTTTGTTCTTTTCAAGGGACTTAATCACGGGGTGAAGACTTTGTGACCAAAGTAGCCAGTGGCGTAGGTTTATTAGTTTATATATAAAACACTCATTATTAATTCTATATATGCATGTAGTGTTTTGTTTTGTTTTTTTTTTTTTTTCAAATTTTTATAATTCAAATACTTGTGGTTATTCAATTTTATATTGTTGGCTAATCTCAATTATAGATTACAATTACCCATGTCTTATCCTTGAATGTGTGGCATATATATAAATATTGCTTATATATACTCTGTAATCTGTATCATTTACTTATTTACATTGATGTACCGTATACATACTATAATTCTGTAATTAATGTCTATGAAAATTTACTAGATACTCCGTATTCAATATATCATCCTCGTTGGAATACAAAACTTTCTAATTAAGTCATAAAATGACTCCACCAAATAACTATTTTGCTTGTATTAATCAAATGATGTGCAAAATGATACTCTGTGTACTAAGATCACTTAATACACACTCGATCATCTTTCCAAGTCTCAATTTCTTGTAAAAGAACTTATAACTACAGCTAGAAAATAGCCATGAAATAAAGGTTATTATTATTATTATGTGGATTAGAAGCGGCAAAAATGGTGAATGATAGATAAGAAAATCATTCTGGAAAACTAAAATAATGTCCCTTTTATCAAATAAATAGCCACCCCCACTCTCACATGGAAGCCTACAAATATATGCCTTGTGACACAATTGGTCGGAGGCCACTTAATAATATATTACTTCTATCCCTATGGACTAGAAAGGACAAGAATGATGAAAAAATTGATTATTTTACATATTTTTATATAAAATTTATAAAATAAACGAGCCAACCAATTTTTTTTTTTTCCTCTCTCAAATACGTATCAAAGCAGGTGTGCCCAAATTACTAGTATATGATTTTATTCATGATTCATTTGGTTGATGGGTGTATGTATATACTGTAAAGAATGAGAAAACAAGGTTGATTATGATAGAGTTATGAGAAAGAGAATGTTGGAAAGTTTAATTATATTGATGAATATACATGAGTATATATAGTACAAGATTAGAACATTGAATATACCAAACTATGACTAAATACAATATATGACTAGGTACGTTAGTATATATAGTACCGGTTGGATGTTCCATTGTTCTCTATCTCGATGCCGTGTTATGCTTGTTCAAGAATTTTAACTGGGGATATATTCGGTGATCACAATCCAGGTGTCGTGTACTGGTATTGTAGATATTAATCATCGGCATAATGTTGTTCGGAATACCCTTGTTGATGTTTGTTATCGATCTGGGATTTCAGCAAAAAAGGAAGTTGACATTGGGTTGTCTGGAGGGAATGATGAGGCTCTCAGACGTGCAGATGTGTTACTTTATTCCTAGGATCGTGGTCGCGATGTCTGTGTTGACTTGACTTGGACTTCTCTTTTTACACACTCTGGGCTATCTAACTTTGTTCCTGGACGGGTTGTGGCTGATGCGGCGACTCATCGAAAGCGGATCAAATATAAATCTAGTTGTCGGGCAATTGGATATGATTTCCTTCCCTTATCCTTTTCTTCACTAGGGGAATTAAAGAAGGAGGTTGTTGCGTTGCTGAAGCGGGTTCAAAAGTTCTCGACGACTCAGGACATTGGGGCACGTGCTGCTGCTCATATTTTCACTAGGATAGGGCTTTGCTATAGCTAGAGGAGTGGGGACCCAGATTGTATCTCGACTTTCTACTAATTTTTTATAGGTTGTATGAATTTGTCTGTTTTTGAGATATAATAATAATAGTGTATGTATCTATGTATACTTTTTTTGTACCTCGTATATGATATGGACCGTCGTTTTCGTGGATAAAAATAATTGAGTTGTGATGAGTGATTGTTTATAATTGAACTAGCTTAAATCCCCTGCAACGCATGGTTTTACTTAATCTAATTAGGAATTAAAATGTTAATCTAAAAATAATTTGCACAGAAAAACTATGTTTTCAATTGAAGCAAAATTACTTGAATTTGTTTTTTTTTTTTAAAAAAACAAAAAACTTGAATAGTATATGTATACTGATGTCAAAAGTTATTTATCATTGTTAATCGTTTTTAAAAAATGTAAGAAACTTAATGATAATAGGTTTTTATTATTTTATAATGAAATATGTGTTATTTATTACTACCCGTGCAATTGACATACTTTGAGCGGCACAATGTTTTATACAAATTTAATTGATCGACTTTTTTTTTTTTTTTTTTTTTTTTTGTGTGTGCGATAGTTAATGATCAATTTATATATATACTAGATGAAGGCGGTTTCTTTGTATGTTTTTCAAATAAAATATTTTACTAAATATATATTTATTTAATAAACTTTGTGATATTCACTTGCTTACTATTTGAATTTTTTATTATAAAATGAATTATTAACTTTGTTTTTCATGTTTAGATAAAATTCGTGATATAAAAAGATAATATTTTATTTCACAAAGCTTCATATGTGACTCAATCGATCAAATTCATATCTGGGCACACCGTGTAGCCGGGATTACTTGGTCAGGAGTTACTTGGTTGATCAAGGTTACTCAATCGATCAGGGGTTACTCGAACAGTTAGGGGTTACCTGATCAGTGGTTAGGTATGTCTCAGCCGGCCACATAATATGGTCAGCCACACAAAAAACACGTTGATTTTATTTTTATAATTAATATAAATTTTTTGATCTAAAATAAATTGCAATCTTTTTTTTCATTGGCTAAAATATAACATTTTCCTATGTGACGCTCTAAAGTTAATCTTACGTGGCATAATCCTATTGTAGCGTTTTAAAATTATTAATGCTACGTGGCGTTTTTTTTTGTTTTTTTATTATAATACTACGTAGCGCTTTACAAAAAACTAATCTTCCATGGCATAATCCGATTGTAGCTTTTTAAAAATATTAATCTTAAGTGGCGCTCTAATAATTTTAAAAGAAAATAAAATCCTACGTGGCGCTCTAAAAACTCGGTAAAAAATTCCCCTTTATATATATACTAGTTTGGTGCCTCGTGCGATGCCTGGGTTGTTTATTGAATTTTAAGATAAATTTTTTTATTTATGTACCAAATTTTAAAATATATCATTGATACAAAATTAGTTAGGAATTGATGTGATTTGGTAACGATTAAAATTATGTAGTAGGCATGTAATGACTAATATTAATATTGGTGAAAATATTCGATTTAAAAAATTATAAAAAAAATAGCAAAGAAAGTTTGAAATATTAGAAATTTCTAAAAATTAGACAAAAAAAAATTAAACAAAAAAAAATTGTTCTAAACCCGTTGTGTTAACCCAAATCTAAAACTTTCGGCTAGCGTTGAAAATTTCTTGACCCGTGACTTGAAGTGACTCGACCTAAAATGACCCGCGACCTAACTCGATTGACAGGTCTACATACTGTAAAAAAAATCATATTAGATTGAGAAGTATTTTATTTCAATCAAGTAGAACATATTAGTCGTACGTTTTGAACTACTTCCTTCGCTCCTACAAAATATGATATAAAAATAAATTTATATGATAAATTATTTAAATGTTTTCTACGTGGCGCAACAACATTGGTGAAAAAACACGAAGTGTCACTGTCTCATGGTTTGGTTAAGCTTATAATTTATTTGTACCTATGGAATATTGGTATTTTATCGGAAATAAAACTCCAAACCAACAACTTTATCCTATAATGAATCTTTCCAAATTTTATTGAAAATAAAACTCTAAACTCAACATTTTTATCCTACAAAATCTATCCAAGTTTTTATTGTAATAAAAAAATACAACTTTTTTATGTATAAAAAATATATCCAAATAAAACCTACATGTCATACTAATATTTAATTGTTGCCTACGTGACGTGACACTTAGCGAAAAGTTGAAACATCAAGTGTCGTTGTCTCGTGGCCTGGCTAAAAGTTTAGCTTTATATATTAGTTATATGAAGTGGATTTTAACAAAATTTCCATAAACTAACATGGAATTTTTAACAAAAAAATAAATTATCTTTTCGTGAGATTTATATATAAAGTGGATTTTAACAAATCCATAAACTAACATGAAATTTGTAATTGTTAATGATAGAAATTAGAATAATAGAATCCTTGTATTAACCAAAGTGCTCAAAGTTTCCACGGTAGAACAAATAAAGTTATACTATAAGTCTAACAACCACCATGGAGATCTCTTTGACCCACCACTTGAATCTCACATTATTTCCAACTAATTTGTATATAGATATCTATGTTATAATTAACTTGATATTTTTTTTATTACACTAAAATTATTTCTAATGAACTGAAAGTATTTTTACCAAATTAAAATTATTTTTTCTGATTAAAAGTTATTTTTTACTGATTCTCTATTTTTTTATTAAAATATATTATAAATGGATCTCATTTTAAAGAACTTTTTAAAACGAATTTTATGATGGAAATAGTAGTGAGTTATAAGATATTTATTAAAAGTTATAATTAATTTTGTATATATGAAATATTAGAAGTATATCGATAATAAAACACTATATAATATTTTTATCTTACAAAAATATATCCAAAATTCGCTTACTTAGCATCCTATGTGTCACAATAATACCTATTTGTCACCTACGTGGCTCGACACTTGGCGAAAAACTGGAATGCGGAAAACTGGAATGCCAAGTGTCGATGTCTCGTGGCCTGGCTGCAAGACCGACTTTATTTATTAGTGACTAGTTTTGTGTCCCGAACGATACCAAGGTTGTTTATTGAAGTTTAGGATAAACTTTTTAGCTTGAATATAATGTTAAATACGGTCATATAATCACTCTTGATAATGCAGGATATTTAGACATACGATATAATACTTAAATTATTTTTACAAAATTGAAAGTATTTTTACGATTAAAACTTATTTTTACTAATTCTTTATTATTTAAAATATATTATAAATGGATCTTATTTTAAAGAACTTTTTAAAACAAATTTTATGATGGAAATAGAACCGAGTTATTAGATTTTTATTAAAAGTTATGATTAATTTTGTATATGTGAAATATTAGTAGTGTATCGATAATAAAACTCTATAACATTTTTATTATTAAAAATCTATCCAAATTTTGATTATTTAGCATCTTATTTTTCGCCTACGTGGCACGATACTCGGCGAAAAAACTGAAATGCCAAGTGTCACTGTCTCGTGGCCTGGCT